ACTGGGACATTATGCTCTACACCAGAAACTGACATATTGTAACTGACTGCACTTCAGTAAAAGAAAGAAATAAAAGGAATGCAAGCCTGGCTTAACATTCAAAAATTAATAAGTAGGAGTAACCATGTCAACCAGTTGAGGAAGAAAAACCATAAGGTCATCTCAATAGATACAGAAAAAGCACTTGACAAAATTCTAAAACCATTTCTGATGAAAACTTCCAGCAAACTAAGAACAGAAAGGAAGGCCTGCGATCCGGAGGGAGCCCTGCCAGCCCCACAGCTGACAGCGCACCTTGCGTGGGAGGCGGGTGCTTCTGCCTGAGGGCTGGGGTGGGGCGGGATACCCCGTCTCAGCTCTGTGCAGTGTGGCCCTGAAGGTCCTCGCCGGTGCAGTAAGGCGGGAGAGGAATAGCCACCCAGACCTGAAAGGAGGAGGTCACATTCTGTCCATTGGCAGAAGCATGACTGGCTATTTAGGAAATCATGAGGAATCCACAAAAACTGCGCTATCACTAATACAAGTGAATTTATTTAGTTTGCAATATACAAGGTCGATTTGGAAACATCTTTTTAATTTTAGTTATGAACATTTACAGTAGCACCAAAATGAAATACTTGGATATAAATCTAATGAAATATGTTAATATCTGCACACTGAAAACTGCAAAACACTGATGAAGGAACTCAGGGGAGATCTGAAGAAATGGATGTTCCTGGATTTGAAGACTCAATTATGTTAACACGTCAACTCTCCACTAATTGAGCCAGCAGTTTAATGCAGTTCCAGTCAGAATCTCTGCAGGATATTTGGGTAGAAGACTGCAGGATGGTTCTAAAGTGTACATGGCGGAGCAATGGGACTTGAATAGCCAAGGCAGTTTGGGGGGAAAAAACCAGTAAAGTTTAAGGACTCAGACTTTCTCAGTTCAAGACTTACTGTTAACCTACTGCAATCAAGTCAGTGTGCTTGTGGCAAAGGACAGAGAAATGGATCAGGGGGACAGCAAAGAGATGCAGCGATGGACCCTCAAATACGCCAAGTGATTGACAGGGGTTAAGGAGAATTCCATCAGAAAAAGGACAGCCTTGTCAAAAAATGGTGCTGGGACAATTGGACATCCATTTGCAAAATAATTTTTCCATACTTTGTACTATACAAAACAATTAAAATAGGTTGTAGACTTAAATGTAAAACCTAAAATTATGGAAGTTCTAGAAGAAAACAAGGCAAAAATCTTGTGGGTGGCAAGTAGACTTGTGGTGCTGATCACTCTGCAGTGTATGCAGATGTTGAATGACAACACTGCACACCTGAAATGTAAATAAATAAATTTAGCTCTGAGTTCCCCCCCAAGCGCCCCCCGATCTTTGTGACCTTGAATTAGGCAAAAATTTCTTAGATGCAATGCCAGAAGCATAATTCATAAAAGAAAAATGTTGGTAAATTAGAACTTTTCATAATTAGGAACTTCTGCTCTTTGAGACACTATTAAAGATGAAAAGACATCACCGGTGTGGGGGAGATACTTGTAAATCATCTCAGATACATAAGGAACTCTCCAAAGTCAATAATTAGAAAGCAAAGAACCCAATTTGAAAATGAGCCAAAGATTTGAATAGACACTTTACCAAAGACGATACACAACTGGTAAGTACACATGTGAAAAGATACTCAGCGTCGCTGGTCTTTCAGGAAGTGCAAATTAAACCCGCAGTGAGATACCGGCACGTCTCTGTTAGACGGGGTGGCATTAACAAAACCCCACGGTACCGTGTTGACAAGGATGTGGCGCACCTGGCGCCTGCTGGCGGGAATGCAGAGGGGCACGGTCACTTGGGAAAGTCTGCCCGTTTTTATGAAGTCAGCATAGTCAACACGTGACCCACGGTTCCCACCCTGTTTACCCTGGACATGGATGTGTCTGTTCACACGAAACCTGAAGCCGCGTTCCCAGCTGCTTTCTCTGTCGTCCTCTGTGAGAAGCCAGCCTCCAGGCTGCAGGGCTGGGTTCCTGCAGGACGTGGGGCCCGGGGCGGGGGCAAGCCAGCGCACTGGGGCCTTGCAGCCCTGGGCTCAGGCAGGTCCTTGTCCTTTCTGGCCCCGCTCACTGCTGTGGACTCAGCCCGAGGTGCATGGTGAGGGGCTCAAGTGTGAACAAACACCTTTCTAGAAATTAATCTCAAAAAGAACAGCCTGGAAGCAGGGCTGCCAGCTCTCGCCTTGTGTGGAAACTGGTGTGGCCCCTACTTCCCAAAGACACCCCACTTCTTTCTAAGCAGAGTCTGCTGATGTAGCCGGGGCTTGGACTCCTCACCCCTCCGGGAGGAGGCAGTGTAGCCAGGCCCCCATCACAGGCCCAGGGCTCCCGACCCAGTGCCTCCTGCCCCCGGCTGTGTGGCTGCAGGCGAGCTCCTTAACCTCTCTGTGCCCGCTCCTGGCGACAGCAGTGCCTGTGCCTGGGGAGCCCCGTGGGGAGTGGTAGGGTAACTGCAGGTGAAGTTTAGGCCCTGAGCTCCTGTGAACAGGGACGAGTCAGGGTCCCCGCTGAGCTGCTGGGTGCCAAGCCGCTGTCCTCCTGCTCCGGACCTGTCTGGCCGCGCGCTAGGGTTGGGGACGGACGGAGGAGAGCTGGCTGACTGGCTTCTTCCTGGACAGGTGGGTGGGGACGGCTCTTCCGAGCTCCGAGTACTTGAAGGAGTCACAGAGGAAAGGACTGATGGGTTTGAATCAATAAAACTCAGTTTTGAAAAACATTGTGACAAATGGAGGGGGACACGTGAGCTGCAGGAGAAAGTGGCCTGAGGCCCATCCTCTGCAGTCTGCCCAGCGCCATCCAGGAGGGGCGGCCCGGGGAGCGGCACGTGGAATTCAGGGTTTTCTAGGTGAGAAGAAGTGGGTGAAGTTAATTTCAAGAACGTTTCATTTAATCCAGTATGTCTAAAAATTACCGTCTCGACCTGGTCGATCCGTTGCCGAGGCGGAGTGTGTATTTCCTGCTACCTCTGGTTCCCGAGTCGCCTCTCCGAGGGCCCGGCGCCCAGCGCAGCTCTCCCTACCTGGGCGGCTCCTCCGGGTCCCCGTGCCAACAGAGCAGCTTTGCCCCTGGAACTGAGAGAGGTGGGCCCACCCGCTCGGTGCCCACTGGTGTGGCAGCACTGGCGTGTCCAGCCGCCCTTCTGGAAAGTGCTCCGACCCCGGGGCTCTCTCTGAGGTGACCGTTCGGGAAACCCACGCCCACGGGGCCTCGCGGCTCAGCCTCTGCGGTCTGTTCGTCGGGCTTTTGATGGTCAGGAGTAGCTTGCGTCGTGTTGCTCACTGTAAATATTTGATGGCAGTTACTTAAGTTCACAGGCATAGACGACAACCGGCCGCAGGCTTCGGGTGATCTGTGTTCTGTGTCCTCACGTCCTGTTTCCTTCGGCCTCGTAGCTGCGGGGTGGCCGGCGCTTGTGGCCCTGCGGTGGGGACGTTCTCAAACTCCATTTCGCAGATGAGAGAACGGGGCCTGAAGAGCTTCTGAGACCTGCCTGAGCTGCGTTGACAGGATGGGTGCCTCGTTGCTGTGACTCCGAAGGCCGAGCTGGCGGCCGAGCTGGAGACACTGGGCAGGGGGCCGCAGAGCAGGCGGAGGGAGCGGCAGTGGTGCGGGGTCGGGAGGCGAGGGGAGTCGGTCAACTGTAGGAAGGGATCAGTTGGCCTCCCTGGAGCAGGACAGAGGTGTGGAGGTGAAGGCGCAGGGATTCCGAGGTGGGGGGAAGGCCCCCCATGACGGCCGTCTGCGTGGGAGAGCCCGGGGACAAGGAGGGCGTTTGGTGGGACCAGCAGGAGGGGTGGGCCGGAGGACCTTGGTGGGGGTGGACAGGGCTCACTCAGGCCCTCGGGTTCCCCCCTGCGGGGTGACAGCATGGAGGCTGGGGGGCGGGGCCTCTTGGGTGACCCTGGGGCCCAGGCACAGGGACGCTTCTGCAGGAGCCTGTGTGGGCACAGAGCGGGGCGGTCCTGGGGCCAGGACTCTGGAGGCTGCTGACGCAGGGTCCAGGGTCCCTTTGAAACGGGGAGACTAGGGATGAGGCAGTCACTGGAGGGCAACTGAGGGCTGGGGGCTGGGGGGAACCGCCAAGATTAAAGGTGGGGAGTTGAGGGGTGGCTGTTGGACCCCTTTAGACCGTGTGCTCACAGTCCCTGTGCGCTTGAGATGGCCCGGGGGAGAAGGGGCTGGCTTCAGGAGGGAGGTTCCAGAAGGGAATGCTCGCATCTTGTGCTGCGACCACGAGTCTGTGGCTGCCAGCTGGCCCTGCGGGCAGAGTAGAAAGCCAGGCACGTGTCTGCCCAGGACCCTGTCTCAGGGGGTGTAGCCCTTTTTAAGTTAAACTCCCACGGTTCTTGCAGAGATGTGTGAGCTCTGATGCTCCAGAGCAACAGGTTTGTTAGGACCGAACGAGGCTCCGTCTTTCTGCCTCTTTGGAAGGGGCAGCCTGGTGTTCAGCTGTCCGGGTCTGGTGGACAGCAGCTTTGCAGTCAGCCATCGGGCGTGCCTGGGGGAGGCGGCGCCCAGGCCCAGTGGCTGCACTAAGAAAACTCCAGCCCCGCGCTTTGGGGCGGCCAGCCAGGCCCACACCATCCCGGGGTCACGGAGTGGCCCTCCTGCCCCACACAGGGCCAGAGAGACACCGTGGCTGATCCGGCGGGCGAGGTCCCTGGACTTGTGGTGTCCTGGGTGCTGGGCCGCGAGAACAAAGGCTGGTGCCCACCGCCTGCTCCTGGCGCCTGGGTGGGCGGCTGGTGTGGGGCCTGCGCTCGTCCTGGGGGCAGGCGCCTGCCTCCACCCACCCACGCGGGGACCGCTCAGCCCCGGGGCGGAGGGCGTGCAGCAGGAGGGGAGGACACCCTGCTGAGGGTGGGCGCTCGTCCCTGCGGGGCCTCTTCAAGGCACAGGGTAAACAGCAGCGGTCTTTTCCTCTCAAGAAATTCCTTTGTCCCTCTCGGCTCCTTATCTCGGCTCTCAGGCTTCCATGGGCTTGTTTGCAGGATGTAATTCCTTTTTAGGTCACTCAGATACTCCTCTTCGGAGAGAGCCTAACAAGGCCTGGCTGTTTCTATTTTTAACGCTGACTCGGGCCAGCCGCGGCGGGCGGGGCTGTTCTGCCGGGTTCCTGGGAACCCGCGGCCTTCCTGCTCTGCCACCTGCCGCGTTGGGAGGGGCTGCTTTCCGTGCGGCTGGATGGGTGTGTTTTTTTGTATTCGCTATGCTCTTCCTTGCTGAAATGTCTAATTTGCTCTCTTTGAAAATATTGAGCTTTCCTTTGAAAGAACCCACGAGTTTTGATCAGTTGCCTCCTTTCCCTCTGAAGTTAGCAGAAGGGCCTTTTCCTCGTGAAGAACTTGGCCAAGCAGGTGTGCAGCTTGGGCGGGGCTGCGCCCAGGTTGGGTGGGGCCGGAGCCCCTGAGCCAGGGCTGGGCGGGCCGGGCTGCCTGCTCACAGCGCCCCGCCCGGCGGCCTGGCTGCCTGGTCCGGTCTCTGCTGTGCTGTGTTCCCTCCAGGCAGACGTGGTTGAGCTCGCGGTCCCACAGCCTGGAGGGGCTTTTCCCGTCTGTGCTCACGATGTCCTGCGTCGGCCCTGGGGGGATCTCCAGGGAAGGCCAGCAGCTCTGTCCTCAGCTGCCAGGAGGCTTGGGCTGGAACTTTAGTGTGCGGCTCTGGGGCGCGAACAACCGTGGGGCCCATGCCCCCTGAGTCCCCCACCGCCCACCTCCCGGCCCCCATGGCATTGGTGGTGGCGCTGAAGTGACACGGCCCGTTTGATGCTGGCTCTGTGTCCGGCCTGTGCACAGTGACTGTCCAAGCAGGCTGGTGAGAAAGGACACTCGAGAGCCCAGGGCACAGGCGTGGGGTCTCCTCCAGGAAGCGACCGAGCAGGAGTCCGAGCAGGCGGCTTCCAGGAAAGCCCCGGCCGCCCGGCAGCCCCCTGGCACCGACGGTGTCAGTCGTCAGGAGCGTTGCTGCCGCTTCTGGTTGCGTAGCCTCCAGCAGAGTAAACTGCGTTCAGACCGAAGGTAACAAATGCCCCGCCCTCATCCCTTCCTCATTACTCTACTACGGTGTGCTTCGGGACCCTGGCTACTTGTGTCTTGTGTGTCTGAAGGTGGGGAATACCCTGTAACTGTGCGGGCGTGTCGCTGAGCCCTTCCCAGCTCCGTGTGCAGTGATGTCGCGTCAGGAGCAGGACGTGGGCCACGCGTGGGCCTTCACACCACAAGAATGGGGAGCGGCTCCGTGCACACCGCTGCCTGGGGAGGTGCTGTCTCACACACCCGAGGACATCTGTCCCCTGCGATGTCCAGAACCTAGGACAGAATCCCACTGTCCAGCCAGGATGCTGCAGCGGAAGAACCGCCTGTCACTGGGGTGGGTTTTGGTGGAAGTGTGGGGTGGAGGGCGTGCTCCAGAACCAGCAGCCGGGCGAGCCTGTCCTCCACTGTCACGTGGGCGAGGGGCCTCGGTGCCTGCTACTTTTGCCCATAAAGTAGCCCACAGCTTCGCTCACTGGCAAAGGAAAATTTTTTTCTGTTAGCAGAAATTTGCCATAGTATGTCGCTAAAATCCAGCATCTTCCAGTGAGCTGCTTTGAATTTCTCATCTTTAGGGTAATTAAATCTGTTTTAAATGAGGTCTCTGATTTGTGTGTCTGCGTCTCCTTTGAGCGACACAGTTCCAGGTGCTGTCACCTGAGCCCCACCCTCCCCGAGGGGCGGACGGGTGGCTGCAGGCCGCATCCCAGAGGGGACCTTCAGAAGGCACGTCGGTACCTCTTTCCCCTAGCTTCGACACTAAGAACCAGGGAAGATCAAAGGCGAAAATTACAAAATCATCATTTCCCGTCGTTTGGATGCGCTCCCAGCCAACACCCAGCCCGGAGCTCGGATGGGGCCACAGACTGGCCTGGGCTGGGGGCTGAGGTGGCCTTCAGGTTTCTGGTTTTGCTCCCACGCAGTTACAATGTGAGCATGCTCAGCGAGCTTTTCATTGTGGCGAAATGTCCAGCTTGTTTAAAGTGCAGAGAGCGGACCCAGATTCGTGCTCACAGCCCGCTTTGTTTCGAGTGACCCCCCCCCAGCCCCCGTCATGTGAAGCAGAACCAGACAGCGTCGTTTCATCTGTGAACTCCTCAGTTGCGGCTCTGAAAGCAGGAAAAACCCTCACGTGTCACCATGACATCTACAGCGTTAACAATAATTCCGTCACATCATTAAACACCCAGTCAGCGCCCCCACGGCCCCCGCTGTCTCATAACTTATTAGAGTTCATGTATTGAAATGGGTCAAAATCTTGGTAGAAGTTAAGCATTTTCCGTAACTTTCTGGAGGTAAACCTGACCAACAGCAGAACCCACCTGTTGGTGGAGCCTGCAGCTGACGAGCGTTGCTGAACGTCCGCCCCGGGAAGCATCGTGACCGGGGCGGTGTACGCACCACCCTCACCAGGCTCCTGGTGCCCCGGTGACCCCTTCCTGCAGCCCCGGTGTGCGGCCCCACTGGCCACCCGTCCAGCGGTTTGAGTCTTCCAGAATTCCATGGCACCGGGCAGAGGACACCCCCCTCGCCTGGCGGCCTTCCTTGGCTTCACTTTGGCTCCATGTGGTCAGAAGACAGGCGGGGTGGCTCCCATCTCTGGGAGTTCATCAGGCTTATTTTGTGGCCAGCGATGACCTTTCCTGGCGAGGGGGCCCCGGAAAACGGAGTGCCCTGCAGCTGTGGCCTGCACTGTCCGGTGAGGTCTGTGCTGGCCGCGTGTCCTCCTGACGGAGTCTTCTTGGTCCTTGCGAAACGTCCTTTCTCAATGTCGCTCACCGGGGCAGCCGGCCCAGCCTGCTGGGGCCCGAAGCGCGGGGCGGGTGAGGTGGGTCTTCCCTCTTGCCTTTGGTCCGGGACTTAGGTCCTGCCCCCCCCACCCCACTGAAGGCCTGCACCAGCACCGCCCGGTCCCACAGAGTGTTCTGTGATGGCGGGGGTGCTCTGTTTCTGTGCCGTCCAGGACGGTAGCCACTGGCCGCAGTGTCTCAGGCTGCCCTCCTGCTCGGAGCAGGTCCCGACCTTTAACATGTAATGTGACCGCTGATGTGGGCGAACTGCAGTTGGCCGCCGCGTTACTTGCTTTCTGTTTGTGTCCTCTGGTCTGTCCTGTTGTCCCCCGTTCCTGCTTTCTTCTGGATTATTTCCTTTTTTCACTTGCATTCCATTTTAATTCATTATTGGCTTCTTGCCTCCTGAAACATACTTTTTATTTTTTAAGTGTTTGCTCTAGGTCTCGATACGTGGGCCGAAGTGCCTCGCCTCGTGCTTCCCGCTAACACGAGGCTACTTCCTGGAGGATGTGGACGCGTTGTGGTCGTGTCGGTTTCACGTGGTGTGTGCGTTGTGTCCGTGCGCATGGGGAGCTCTGGTGCACGGTGTTAGGGCTGCTGCAGCCCCCCGTCCCCCACCGAAGCCCGTCCCGCCTGCCGCCGGCTGTGGAATTAAGCTTTACTGGGGCGCAGTGCCTCATCCACGCCCGCCCTGTGGTCGCCACGGACACTCGTGGCCCGCGAAGCCTGAAGTATCTCTGGTTCTTCAGTTACAGTTTGCCCAGCCCGCTCCGGGAGCGCTCGCGTTAGGGCTCGTGGGGACGGAATTGACCAGGTCTTGCGTGATGAGAGCTGTCTTCCCCCGGCTGTGACACTGGAAGGGCGCTGGCTGAACGTGTGTGTCGCCCTTGGCCTACACCTCATCCCACTCCTGCCTTGATCTGTATGAGGGTCTGACAAGCCTGGTGTGGGGCCGACTGACTGCACTGTGAGCTGTAGCTTCACTTTAGAAATCTAGGGGTTTTACTCGGGTGTGTCCTGGAGTCGGTCGTTTGCGGTGACTTTTCTCAGGTGCTCAAAAAGCCCTTCAGTGTGTGAGTTCGTCTTTTCTTATTTGGGGGCGGATTTCTTGGGGTGTCATTCTATTTATTTATTTATTTATCCCTTCTCTGTATTTTCTATTTAGTTGAAATATAGCTAGTTACAATGTGTGTTTCTGGTGCACAGCATCGTGTCCCAGGCGTGCGCACGTATACATATATTCGTTTCCGTGTTCTTTTTCGCATAATGGTAAACGTTCTGTCCGTGGTTTTGCGTCTCTTCCGCGGGGACGTGGTAGCAGGTGCACGCCGCCCCTGTCACCTCTTTCCCCGACTGCGTTCCGTCCTCTCCGCTCTCTGTGGGCTCTTCTGGCTTCTTGGTGGCTTTCTTGCTGAATTTTCCTTCAAGTCGATTCTCCCTCGGACACTTTGTAACTCTTCTTTTCTGTGGTGACTTTGTCACCCCCCAGTCCTTTCCTGAGGTTGTCAGCACGTTTATTTCTCTGGCTCTTTCTGACGCATTTCTCCTTCAGTTTTGTTTCTGATTCCAGGTGTTCTTCTGGCCTGGGTGCTTGTCGGAGTGTGCTTACCTCTGTGTGGGTGTTGGCTGGTAGCTGCGTTCTGCTCCAGGATGCTTTCTCTGGGGCAGTGCTTTCTCCTCGATGGTCGTGTGGAGGCGTCTCTTTACTGGTTCTCAGCCTGGACCTCCTGTGCGCCTTCCCGTGATGCCGGCACAGGCATGATTCCTGGCTCCACAGCGCCCTCTCCTGTCCAGCGACATCTGGCGCATGGGGGCTCCTGGTGCCCGTTGCTGGGTGGCAGGGGTCCTCAGGGCTCCTCCGTCTTGAGCCCCCGTCCCCCCTTTTCCCCCTCCTTTACCCTCGGTTTGCAAGGCCACCTGCCCCCTGGCTGTGCTCTGTCCTCTACGGAGGCAGCGTCCCCTGGCGTGCCGGGCCTGCCACTCCGCAGGGTTTCCCTGCCCGGTGTCTCCCCCTCGGCAGGGGCCAGGTGTAGGACTCTGCACTGCGAGCTGGTCACCAGGCTGGCGTTAGATCCCAGAGCTTTTTACCTTGTGCCCTTTGACCTACAAGTCCCAGCCACGGTGGCCGCCTGGCCTCTGTTGCTCTGGGTCTGGCTCCGGAACCACACGTCTGAGCGCGCTCTCAGGGCTGACTTACTTCACGTGTGTTCTGCTTGTGTCGCTTCTTCTCGCTTTGTTGCTGGGACGTTGCCCACGTGTCCTTGCCCTCCCGGACTTGTTTCTCCGGAGGAGGAGACCGCGTAAAGAAGGCAGGTTGAATTCTTGCTGTGTTCTGTTTATTTACCAGTTTTCAAAAGAATGTCCTGGTTCCAGGATGACCAGTGTGTGGGGTCTTTTTTTTAGTATCGTTGTGAACTCACGGCTGGAAGAACATTCACGTGTGTGACTTTCAGTCCATTTTAGACGCCCGTGGCCTGTCCCAGGTGGATTGGAGCGTCAGGTGAGGCACAGCTCTAGCTGTGGAGCGGGCCCCACCATCCAGGTGGACGGAAGCGGGACCCTCCTCCAGCTTCGTAATGCCCTGTGACGCTTCACCTGGCCTGTGGTGAGGTGACCGGAGCCAGAGGCAGGAGCAAGGGTTCTCTGACCGTGCTTTCACCACGAGCTCACCCCGCCCGGGCTGGGGCCAGGCACACGGTCCAGTGGGAGGGCGGGCACAGGGGCTGCGGGTGAGACCAGAGCAGCAGGTGACAGGACAGTCCTGGCGCCTGGGTGGGGGCGTGGTCGGAGCCCATCTGCGGGGCTTGGGACACGGGGAGTGGGTGGGGTTTGGGGCTGAGGAGGGCTTGGGGGCGCAGAGCCAGGTGGCATGTGGGGCGACCCCTTAAAAGCCTTGAACCTGGGGGCTTGCGGTACGTGCACGTGATGCAGGCGGTTCTGGTTTAAGTGGGTGGGACCTTCACCAGCTGCCACGTGGGAGCACGGACTGAGGATGCCTGCCACACGTCTGTCCCCGTGGGGGGACCCGAACCCCGAGGTAGGAGAAACACCCACCTCTGAGGTTCCAGGGTATCTCGCCGTGGCCGTGACTGTCTGTGATCTTACTCCTCACACTCGTGGGCCTGAAGTGAGAGGTCAGGGAGGCTCAGGGCATGTTGTCCCTGGACGTGACCCATGCACAGCCCATCAGGCGGTGCCGGTCGTCTGGGTCATCGTGTAGGAAATGTTGAGTTTCAAGAGATAAAATAATATGAATCATTTTATGATGAATTAAAACTTAGTTTCAGATTAATTGTTTCACCGTAAGTTAAATTTCTTTTAAGTTAAATTGTGATTGCTAGTTCAGGTGTGCTGGGTAGAGGTCTTCCTCCCTGGAGGTGTGGCGGGGGTGGGGAGTTGTGAGGGCCCATGGAGGCGCTCACCTGTCGGAACTGACGGTGGGCTTCCCCAGCCTCTGTCCAGGAAGAGCTGTGGTGCAGGAAGTCCACAAGGTCCCTGACCTTGAGAAGTCTGGGGGCCGCTGTGCTGGGACAGGTGAGACCTAAACACAGGTGGCAGGTATGGGAGGGATGGGGTGGACGGTGCACGGGAGGCCAAGGACACGTGGAGACGTGTGGATGAGCGGCCCTGGTCCTGCGGTGGGCACAGGTGCTGGAAGCGCTTGGGTGTCTGTAGTGCCTTGTCACCCCATAGCTTGGCTAGAGCCCGGCCCTCTGAAGAGGGTTGGGTGGGGCTCAAAGACAGGAAGGGACAGCAGATTGCATCGGTCAGCGACTCTTCACCTGAGCCCAGGGCTTTGCTCGCCGGGGGTCTTCAGAGACGCGCACCAAACACATCGCAGGCGCTCCCCCAATTTGTCCTTCAGCTGAGACTCGGGAGGACAGAAGGTGGGTCACTTGCAGGGCCGGGGCAGCAGCGGCCGGGGGGCAGACGGCCCTCCCGCTGGGTGTGCGGATGCACCTGACCGATGCTGAGATCTGCTGCTTGCTGGGTGCCAGCCACCGTAAGCGCCCCAGAGGCAGCCCGTGTTGCTGTGTCGGGAGGCCCCGGGAGAGGGCAGAAGCCAGAGCTGAGGGGGGGCACCACGGGCAGGAGCAGGGCGTGTGTGGCGAGGGGCATGTGGACCTGTGGGTCACCCCGAGACGCCCAGTGCAGTTTCCTGCGGGGGTGAGACACGACCTGGGAGGCGCCAGGCCCCGCTGCCGGGTGGGGTGTGGGGGCAGCTGGACGGTGTGGTCAGGACGGCCCTCCTTGTGCTTCTGATGGAGCCACTGGGGAGCTCGTCTGGCCCCGTCCTCAAGGACGGCTCCGTGGTCCAGTGACAAAGGTGTGTGTGGGCTGGGTGCTGCCTTGGGGCCAGTTTGGTCAGAGTCTGAGGAGATGGGGAGAACCCTGGTGACCAGGGACACGCGCTGCCAGGCCTGGACCTGAGGCTGTGGAGAGGCCGGCAATGAGAGGAGGTGGCCGAGCCAGCTGTGCCACCAAGTGGCCATGTGCAGCCAGCTGACCACAGCCATGTCCTCCGCCTCAAGGGTGGATGGGAGGTAGGTTGGCATCCGGCTGGTGTCCTTGTGTGGTCAGCTCTGCTGCCTTCCAGACGGGGGTGGGGGTGCGTGCACCCCCACACGTGCACCAGGGACCCCTCGTGGGGGACGTGGTGGGGTCAGACACGTGTCACATTAGGATGGCCTTTCTGGATGCTCTACAGTTGACACGTCTGACTACAGTTGGGAGAAAATGCCCAGATTCCTAAAGAAGCTTCCCAGAAGCTGTGAGTCCTTTCTGGGGATTTGCAGCCAAAGGAGAGGGAAGACCCGGGACCACGGTGACTGGAGGCACACGGGGTGCGAGCCCCAGAGCTTCGCCACGGCCGAGCCTGGCGCAGCCCTGACCTGTCGTTTGTTTCCCCCAGGTGGTCCATGCGCACCGGCCGCACTTCCTGGCCCTGCACTGCCAGGAGTTCGGAGGCAAGAACTACGAAGCCTCCATGTCGCATGTGGACAAGTTTGTCAAGTAAGTCCTGGCGCCCACGTCCCTGTGCTTGCTCCTGGTGGGGCCCAGCGTGTGACAGCATGGCTGGGGGAGTTGGCGGTGTGGCCCTGGGGGGTGACAGTGTGTCCTTGGAGGGTGACACTGTGGCCTTGGGAGAGTGTAGGGTAATGGCGTGGCCCTGGGTGGTGACACTGTGGCCCTGGAGGGTGGCGGTGTGGCCCTGGGGTGAGGGGTGCAGGGTGACAGTGCCCCCTGGGCTCGAGACTTCAGCAGAGATTTGGCCAGTCACACCTCACGTGGTCTAATGGCTGCCACTCTGCTGCTGTTGCTGCTGCGGACGGACAGGTGGATGGGCAGGACTGGTGTCCCTGCAGCTGCTCAGAGCTTGTCACAGTGAGACAGGGACAGAGCATCACTGTCCATGGGTGGCAGGAGCCATGGGCATTGAGCCCTCTGAGCGCAGGGGTCATTTGTTAAAGGGTAGATTTTTTAAAACTGTCAAATTAGCCCCTACCCCAAAATCCAAAGGTGTGGGTGGGCTGGGTGCTGCCTTGGGGCCAGTTTAGGCGGAGTCCGGTGAGGTGGGGAGAACCCTGGTGACCAGGGACACGCAGTAACCCTGCAGCTCTGCAGGGCGGGCGTCCTCACCGCCGGCGCCGGGCGTCCGTGAGGGTGGGCCTGCTCCCCCTCGCCCCGGACTGTGGCGGGTGGCCGC